GATGGATGATGGATGGATGATGGATGGATGGATGGGATCTTGGGCAGGTGAGGCCCTGGCACAGGATGTCCAGAGCAGCTGTGGCTGCCCCTGGATCCCTGGCAGTGCCCAGGGCCAGGCTGGACACTGGGGCTGGAGCAGCCTGGGACAGGGGAAGGTGTCCCTGCCATGGCAGGGATAGCACTGGGTGGGCTTTGGGGTACCTTCCAACCCAAATCATCCTGTGATTCCATGAAAATCACATGCAGCTCATCTGTGCAATCACAGGACTATTCCAGGCCTGCTGGGAAAAAGAAAATATTTATTCTGACACTTCCTAGCAGGCAAAGATGAAGTGGGGCTGATGCCACGGGCTGGGGAATGTTTGGTCTCAGCATTAGCTCACCCTGCTTCGTGCCCAGCCAGAGCTAATTGTCAATCCGCCCAGTTCTCCCTCCCAAGCTCTGTCAGCACCAAGTGTCCTGCATGCAAATAAATATTCTGGGCATCTCTCACCTCCTGTTTCTGCCTCTTGCAGGAGAACACCTGAATTTCAGCTCCTGCATTCCAAAAGACATGAATTTCAAACAGCTGTGCTTGGTGGACTCACTGCCCACAGAGCCTGCTGGTAAAAATCCATTTTATAGCCATTTCTGCAGAGTTTTGCAGGCAACCAGTGATGTTAGGTGCAATCAGAGGCCAACTTGCACCTATTATTTCTGCTTACTCTTGTAGAATAAAAGTTGAAGTAAGGGAAATTTTATGCTTGGAGTATGGTTTGGATGGTCTCAGCTGTGATTCTACAGTTAAAGTTATCTGAAAACAAAGAGCCTGGAACAGATACTTTCCCTGGCTTTCCTCCTAAATTTCCTAAGGTGTGAGCCAGATTTTTGTGGTGCCCCCAGAATCTGGCAGGGTGACACCACCCCTCTTTCTGGTACTTGACACAAACCAGGCGAGAGTGATGAAGATAATTCCATGAACTCCACATCCCCAGACTCTTAGTATGGGATTTGTTAACCAGGTGCATCTCCTCTAAATACCTGAGTGCATCATCCGCCTTCTTGGTGGGAGGGATCTCCTCCCTTTGTCACCCCAACTCATTCCAGACTTCACAGAGTTCAGCCCAAGCAACCTAAACCTTTGCCATTCCAGCAACCAGGATTTCCTCCAGTGCATTCTCGCATTTTATTCACTCTGGGAACCCAAAATTTTTATGATTTCCAGAAGCCCAACCTCCTTTATCACAATGATTCATCAGCTGGGTGCATCCTGCTTAGAGAGAGAGAGACAAGTCACTTGTTTGGGGAAAGAAATGCAGGAGAAAAGAGCTTCAGCAGCAGATTCCAGGCTCAGTCCTAAAGGAGCAATGAAGGCCACATCTCTTCTCTCTCCCTTCTCTTTCCCTGCTGCTGATCCCTGCACAGGTAGCTCCCCTCCAGTTGCCAGGCAACATTCCTGCCTCACATGCTCTGCATCCCAAATNGGCAAAATTATGCTGACAAGTCGGGAGTGTAAACTTTGTGCTGTGCTGCCTCCTCTCCCTGGCATCAGTGCCTTTCACAGCACATTAAATCTCCTCTCTGCTCCCTGAAGAGCAGCACAGACCTCGGGAAACCTGAGCACACTCGGGATGGGCACTGCAAACCCCCAGCCAGGAGAGAGTTCCCAAATCAGATCCCTTCCTGCTGCAGGGCTCCAGTTCCCTCTGCAAAAAAGGGCTCAAACTCCCTCTGCACAAAGGGCTCCCACGGGATGCTGCTGCCACAACAAATCCTGCACGTGCCACAATAATCTAGGACAGGTTACAGACACAGAGCTTTGTGTGTTCTGCAGCAATGGCAAATCCATTTTCTTTACTTCTCCTATTATCAAAGGCTTTAAAATTCGACCATAAAGCAGAACTCCTCCAGGCTGCATTTTATTCCTAATGCAGGGTCGTAGTGCTGCCTGAACTCCCTCTCTCTCTCCTGTTATCCACCCACACAGACTATGAACATCCTAAAGAAATAATAAAAAATACAATTCACTTAAGCTATTCAGCAAATTCGACATTAACCTCTTTATATGCTCCTCTATTCCTGTGTAATCCAATTATTTGAGGGGAATCTCACAGCACTACACTTGGAAAAAAAATAACTTTACAATTTCATATGTAGAGATCTACTTGTTTAGAATAAGACCTACTGCACTGCTCTGCTTTCCTTTAGCAATACTGATTCCCAATTTTCAGGTCCACACCTCACTCCCAACCTTCAGAACTTCCTGGAAACCACCACAGTGCCAAGCTTCCTTTAAAAGCACCACAAATGCAATATATTTCTGTGCTTTGCTTCACACCAGCGCTAATCCCTGCAGCAGAACACTTTTCCTCGTTCTCAGACCCAGTTTGGAAAGGGGCTGGAGCCTGGGTCTGGCTCTGGGCCTCAGTTTACCATCAGTAAAACACATGGGGTCCTTTGCTTCCCTCCTTTATTCCAATTGTTCAGAAGATTGACTTTGGCTGCTACAAGAGCTCCATTTCCATCAGATAATGCATCTTTGCCTTCCAAACTATCTGTTAAAAAGTCAAACTTGGTGGCAGGCTTTTGCCAAAACAAAAAAGGAAAAAAAAAAAAAGATGCAAAACAAGTAAATATTTCATTTCAGAACAAAGCCAACAACAGAGCATCTCCCAAAACAAAGACAAATTTACCCAATTCAAGCTGCAATTTTGTAAAGAAATGATGAGATGTTCAAATCCTCTGGGATTTCAAGGTGAGGCAGCCATGGTTGAATGAAATACTGGTTTTGGCTGTGAATGACTTCCCCCAAAAAGAGCAGGAGAGGTCAGAGCAGTGGATGTGCCACTGCCCCAGGGTTTGTGTGTCTGTGGCACCACAAGGATCAAAGTTCCTGATGTGGATTCCAGAACCAAGCACTGCCTCACACTCCCACATTTCCTGCCATGGCACATTTCCACATTTCCATTCCCCTGACCCTTCCTACAATTATCAAATCTCCCCAATCCTAAAGGAAGGTTATGAAGGATCAGGATGTCCCCGCAGTGGTCACCAGTTCAAACCTCTATAAATGCATCAGCAGGGAGCTGGGAGTGATTTTGGGGTTGAAGATATCAGGGCTCACCTCTCCCTGTATCACTCACAGGCTCTTTCTCAGTCCAAAATTGCCAAAACCCCTAGCCCAGGTCTCTTCCCTGGATTTCCATTCCATGAGACCTCTGGGAAGCCCTGAGATCTCTTGGTCCCTTCATACCCAAACCCTGTGTGACAGGACAGGTTCAAACCTTGTGACACCGGTGGCATTGCCACATCAAACCAGGAAATATCACCTTGCATTGATCCACAGCTCTGCAAATACAAAGCCCAGGAGCAGAAATGATGTTGTGCAGAGAATTCCCAGCTGGGGCTGCATCATCAATTCCTGTACAACAAACAACGAGGGAAACAAGCAGGGACAGATTTAGGGTGTTTTGCCCACAGTCACAAAATAAATATATTTTGTTCTCAGCAGTGGATGGTGGGCTCAGCCTGCAGCCCAGAGAAACACTGAATTCTGCAGTGGTTATTCCTCTTCAGTACAGCACTGCTGTGCCTCACCTGCTCATTCAGTGAGAGGGGAGCATCAATCTCACTCGAGAGAGGGGAGAGAGGAACCCAGCTCTGAGAGCCTCATAAAAATGGATGTTTGCAGGGGAAAAAATGAGTTTTCACAGCCAAAAATGTGCAGTGCTTTGTGCAGCATGGTCAGAATGCTCCTTAAAAGCTTTCAAAGGGTTTCAATGATGAAGAAACCTTCAGAGATAATTTAAGGTTATTAGAGGATTAGTGGCTTTAGGTTGGGAGAACTGAGAAATACATAAAAAGCAGATTTTGAGGGGGTGAGGGTGTTTTCTTAAAACTGCCACCCATATAAGCCTAACTATGAAAATAATATAAATATAAATATAAATATAAATATAAATAGAAATAGAAATAGAAATAGAAATAGAAATAGAAATAGATACAATATCAGCATAAATATGAATATCTGTTTGAACTATGCCCTCAAACCAAATTTGAGGGACCTATTTTTCCCCCAGACCTTTCACCAGCTGTCACAGGACAGTGCTGTTCGGTGGTACTCAAAATATTGGTTTGTTATTAAAACTTGGTTTTGGTTGTTTATGTAAAATATAGAACTCTAAGGACTGTGAACTTTTTTTTTTGTCAGATTCAACATAATTTTTAGGGTTTATTCTATATTATTTATTTCATGTTTATATTTCCTATAATAATAATAATAGTAATAATAATAATAATTGTTATTAAAATTATTAAATTATTTTTATAATAAATATACATCTTATTAATTATTATTGCTTGTTTTTTAATATTTTGGGTGGGTTTTATTTTAGTAGGATGTGGGGTTAGGACACGAGAAATTGTACATTTGATGGCTGGGTATTGACGCTGTTTTTGTTTATTATTGCATTTTTTCTTAGTTTTCACAAAATTTATTTTTGTTAACTCTTTTTTTTTTTACTTTATCTTTCATAATGTATAACTTACATTGTAAGTTACTCTTATTTTAAGGTTAAATTTCTTGAGGAATGTACTGGGATTTTTTTTAATCTTTCTGCATCTTTTACTAAATCTACCTAGGTTTTTGGGTAAAGATAATTTTATGCCTGGGTTTGGGGTTTTTTTAACGGGGGAAGAAATCCCCACTGACTTCTTCAGACACTTTCATATGTGCAATGCTGCATTGAAGAAAAATAAATAAAAGGCAAAACAGCTGCTAAATTCCAGAGGTGAAGCCATTCCCTTATGTAAGGTATAATGGCACAGCTTTTGTAAGAATCCCATCAGAAATAAATCATCCAAAGGACCCAGCAGGGCTGGGACACCACCCCCACCTCTGCACAGAAATGTCACACAGAAAAAAGCAAGGCAGAAAGCATCTTCTATGCTGGATTCCACTCCAAAACAATAAAAGGGAAGCACCTGGACTTAAATGTGGAGTTGGCTTCTCTGTTCTATTCTGTTCAACCTGATTTAACCACATTTTCTTAGCAAAGCAACTCCTGTGCCCAAAATCAGCGCTGTGTGATGGGAGCTGGGAGTCCCTGTGGCCAACAATCCACAAACCCAGGAGGAACAGGAGCAGATTTGTGCCCACCCAACCCCTGCATTTTCACCTCTGCAGAGTGCAGCAGGAAAGCTTCAGGAGCCCCCAGGGCAGGGCTGGGAGCAGCTGCACTCCAGGGAATTTCTGTCCTGGACTGTGCAGCTCCAGCAGGGAGATATTCGACTTCTCTTTCCATTTCTCAGAAACTAGCGGCTATCTCTTGTGAAATGTATCTATTTCACCTTAATTACTTCATGTAATCAAGGAAATCTGTACTCCCATGGAATGATTCCATTGACTTGAACAAAACCAGGTGGATATATATGTGGGGAGAGTTTCCTCAGCTTCCTCCAAGCCTTCACTCTTCACCTTATTCTGCAAGTCTGCTGTGCTCATCAATGGGTTCAGTGCATTGCACAGGGGCAGAGGATGAGAAAGTGTGTGTGGTTTTATATTTCTGTGTTAAAAAGGCATCTCTCATCTCCTAGGGACTGTCAAGCAATGAATGCAGACCAAAAAAAAAATTTCCCAACAAATGCTGCTTACAGGTGAATGCCCAGAAATAACCAGGGAGGTGAAAATGGGCTAAAAATTAATTAAAGCTTGGAGTGTTGGCCAAGACACAGCAAAAACACTCCCTGGCCTCTGGCAGAGGGGTTTCTAAGCCCCTCCCTCAGCTTTCAGCTTCCCTGGGCTCTCATTCCAGCGCAAGGGAAATGAGGATGCCTGGGAGGCTGCTGAGCAGGTTTCCAGCACGAGGAGAAAACAAAACATGGTCACAATCAAGGCAAGCTCCAAGCTTTGAGGTGTTTTCCTCTCCAGCCAGCATTGTGAATCTGAGGGCTGTGGGAGCCCAGCCAGGGCTGGCTGGGGGGCTGAGTTGTCCTTCCATGCCCTGATGCCACTTGGGGTAACAGCAGGGATTGGCACAGGATGGCATTTCCCATCAGGGGCCATAAAAAGGTCACATCCCATTGATGCAGTCTGGGTCACCTCACAAACACTGATATTCCACTGGTTACTCCAAGTGCAGCTCCATTGATGCACCCCCCTGGCAGGGTCAGACCTGGAGCACCAGGAGCTCCCAGCCGCCAGGAATTAGTCCCAGAGGAGATTCCAGCATTTTCTTCTTTCTTTAAAAGCTTTGGCTGTAAATATGTGAAACTGCAATATATCCCCTATTCCCTGAGCATGCTCCAAGGTAAGGCCGACTGTTCTCTAGGATTGCCACTTATGGAAGTCTTTTCTTATCTCCAATACTGTATGGCTCCTGATTTTGTTTGGTATTGACCCAAGACATATTTAGATAACCAATTTCCAGTGTAAATACTGTGTATTTTAATTTACTGAGTTGTTCTGCTGGTCAATCAAACCCCTTCTGTACAAATCTGGCTCTGTTGGTGGGATGCTGATTTCCAAACTTGAACAACTTGAAATGCTCAAAAGTGGGTGAAATCGTTATTCATCCAAAATTTAACAAAACATAACTAATCATGAGCAGCAATTACGCCTTAATATACAAACCAGAGAACTGCAGAACGGAAATCCAACCCAAT